TCAGGGTACCTAAGCCCGTGCTATATCTTGCGGCTCCTCGTAGCAGCGCAGCGGTACGTCGGCTCTCTCGACTGTCCGCGTTCACATCTTTTAAGTGAACTGGCTCTTTCGGGGCTCTGTTTATCCAGTCAAGTAGCCTGTAAATGCTCTGCTAGGGCGCGCGATATCGCAGCGGAAAGCAGTGCTCCACACCCATCGCTAATTGTTGGAGCAAGATCTAGAGAAATTCTAGCCTGGATCTGCGGTATTATTGCGGCCTTCGGTAACTGAGCTGAAGTCGTGAAGTGTAACCACAGAGTAAAGGACTCACTGTTTTGACAGTTCTCACTTCTTCGACATCATGACGCACTATTGCTTGAGTTCTTTTATTATACAATTTCTCGGATTTAAAGTTGCGCGACATTTCAGGTTGAACCAAAGAGTGCAAGTGCAGTCGACAGTGCAAGGTCCACAGGCTATCAATCATCACTCGAGTTTCAGTTTTGATCAGGTAAGTCCTCTATGGAAGTTGAATCGTTGTAGAGACGAACCTGCTCAGTTGAGCTGACTCACGGAATTGTATTGCCTTTCACTGGTATTTCTCCAGTTTCTTCTTACCTTAGAGATTGAGTGGAGGACGTTCGGTCGTAAAGTAGCCCTTTCGTGAGGAAAATAGAGGAGTTTGTAGTGAAGGAGGGATAGCAGTTGTACAATTCATATCTTGGCGTTGGAAGGGGGAGGGGGGGAGGGGTGGTGTCTACGGAAATGGTTCTGAGCGTGGCAGCGCTAGACGATTGCGGGTTCGAACAGAGGGGTAAGAGGTGAATTGAGGTTCGGTTATGCCGTCTGCTCTCTTTTATGCGTACACTGTTCGCTTAGCACTCCTTATCGTGTTGTGGTAAATAGATCATCAGCACCTCTCCCCTAGCCCTACGCCCTACTTTTCTTCTCCGGTGTTCGGTACAACACCTTTTACAGCCTACCCGTGTCGCTACACGGGGTTCTACTGGACACTAATTTTTGTCTTAGCTAGTTGAACTCAGGGCACGTCGTACGTTGGGGAATTCCCAGCGGGAGCGGAGTCGCATTTCGTCGTTGGAGGGAGAGGTCGTATTTGGTCTGAAAAAAATCTTTTGATAGATGATTTTTTTCTGTCTCACGAGCGCTATCCCCATCGTTGGGAGAATTCCAATGGGGGGGGTATTTCTCATCATAGGGAAAAGCGGGTACGAAGCCTGGAAAAGTTGGCAAGATAGAAAGGTGACAGGTAGGATGTGGAAAGGGGGAGGATGGGTTCGTATTAGAGGAGGAAACTTGGGAGGGTGTTGTATTCTTCGAGAATTTCTCTCACCGAAAATTGGGTTATTCAGTTTTCATAATAATTTTTTATATCATTATTTTTTTTTGAAAAGAAAATTTCAGCGTTTTCAATATTTCAGCCAGCACAGCCTTTTGTTCAACAACAGGCACAGGCAGCACAGCCGCAGAATCAGTTCGGTTTTGGAGTGCAACATCAGCAGCAGTCGGCGCATCATCAACAACAACAGCAGCAACAACAGCAACAACAACAACAACAACCGCATATTCATCAACAGTACCAACAACAAACTACGCAACAACGACCAATGCAATATTCGCAAACTTCGCATGTACAGCAGCAGACGGTTCAACAGCATATTTCAACACAGCAAGTGCCAATGCAGCAGATCAACCAAGCGCTCAGCCATCAACCGGCTCCGGTCCAGATGCAATCACAGCAACAATCACACCAACAGCAGCTGCAACAAAATCAGCACATGCGAATGGATGCACAACAACCAGTTCGTTTACATTCTATTTTGACTTTTTCCCGTTGTGTTCATAGTACTTCCATCCCTGTCTTTAGGGTGGCCAGTATCAATCACAACTGAGACAACAAGTGGCAAATGACCAGCAACAGCAACTTGCCATGCAACAACAACGAATTCGGGATATGTACATGAGCCAGCAACACCAACAAAATGTGCCACTCCAAAGACAGCAGCAGCAGCAGCAACAACAACAACAACTGCAGCAACAATTGCAGCAACAACAACAAATGCAGCAGCAGCAATTACGTCAACAGCAACAGTCTTTCTCCATGCAGCAGCAGTTTCAACGAGCATTTCCTGTGCAACAACAGCAGTCGTTTCAGAATGATACGGTAAATGGTTATGATACGGTAAATGGTTTACGATGATTTTTCTCGAGTTTATCAACGAGTCTTGAAAGCAGAGTCTGCGATTGCCTATTGTGGGTAGAATGTTCAAGTACACCTCAAAGCGCAAGTCAACCTCCAAGGGAGAAAAATGCAAAAAAAAGTCGAAAGCAACGGAAGTAAGGACCCCGGGACCCCAGCTTCACTGAGCGTGTTCCCCGAACATGCTCCTGTTGTGCGAGCACCAGTAGAGCGATATCCTGCCTCCTCTGGCTCACTAATTCACCAACCACCACCACCTTGGCTAAGTAGATATGTCTATCTGCTACTGAAGTGAATCCCTTATAATGAAATGCTTCACAGTGAACTCGTCTGAGCAAGAGACAGTCTGCAAAGGCTCGCTTGAAGGTTCGGTTTTACAACCTATCCTCAAGGTCTTACTGTGCCTTTTGGGAAGCACTGCACTTGGCTCTTACGGAAGAGAACCTGGCCTGTGTTCATAATATATGTATGACCTGGGACGCGGAGAATGCCGAGAAAGAGGCAATGCAAGAAGGATCATTTTTATCAGAATCCAATCGCTCAAAGACAGTTTCCGCCATCAAATGAACCCCGAAATGCCACCATACATTTGGCATCGTTGTCCGATTAGAAGAAATATACCACTTTCGTCACTTGAAACGGCGAGATAAAGAAGCTAGAGACGCGTGATTATTGCAACCATTGCAACCACTATTACTTTCATTTTGCAAGATAACAGCCTACATGCGGACTTTACATGGCGTTGGCTGGAGCGTCGTAGTGGTGATTTTCTGTGCTGTTGCCGGGAATTGGTTGCACGTTGAATTCTGCTGATGGGCTTGTCGACGTAAACTCGTTCCAAGGCGCCCTTTGCTAAGGGGTATCTTTTCAGAGTGTTCCAAGGTTTTGCGCTTCTTTCCCTTGGACTTTGGAGTTACTTATGGGCTACTGCTTCAAGACTGAGCACCTAGCCCGTAACACTTGATCGCGGGAATTCTCTTTGAAGGTGACGGTGCTGCATTGTGTTAAGTCTCGCAATATCGCGCGTAGGCTAGCAAACCTACTCTGCCGGACTGCGCGCAATAGCACGACCTTCTACGACCTCCTTTCCCATCCCCCGCCCACGAAATACAGCATGAAGCGAAGGGATTGGTATGAAGCGGCTGTGGTGCTGCATGAATATATGAGTACATACGTGCATCCGTATCTACCGTAGCGGTTATTGGCGTAATGCCTTAGGGAACTCGTTGCTAAATTGCTTTTCGAGTCACGAAGAACGAAGGCTCTTTTTCTGCAGGTTTTTGACCGCTTCACTTCATTTCTTTCACCATTTTTCCAGTATACACCCTATTGGCATTTTAGGCCAAGTACCAGATTATTCGTGCCTTTTAATGGTGGTATCTTTGACTCCTCGTTCCTAAACATGTGTGCTCTTATCGTTAGTACCTCGTGGTTCATATATTTAGTGCAATGATCATTATTTTGAAACGGAGGTGGTGGAGTGGCGAGTGGCATGCTTACCACGCGCGCGGTCCGGGGTCAACGGCCTCCCCTTATCGGCTCCCCTCAAGCCACGCAATCCTGCTAGCTTCTACCTTCTAGGGACAGTAAACTGGTGCCCAACTCGTCTGTGGGTGGGGTGAAGCATGTGACATCGTGCTCAGTAAGCTACTACGACACTGAGCGGAAGTAGGGTGCCTCACCGCCCAGACGGAGGTTGATCAACGCAAACTTCATCCTTTTCGGTCCGTTTATCCTTGCCATCGTACACCATGAGTTCAATCCCTTTCTCTTCTCATATAGTAATTATTCAGAATAGCCATGGAAGCGGAAGTGCCATATCGATGTCACCTCAATGTGTGATGCCAATAACACCTCCTGCTCATAGAAGTCCAGCCTTTCACCACCAGTCGGTAAGTTTCCCTTGTAAATTATGTTTGTACTTGTGATGAAAAAAAGCCATTGTAGTCTTTTGATGATAGAAATTTGGGATGCTCTCTCTATTACTGGCTAGTATTTTTGGGTTTACCTATTTTTTAACGAACTCTGACTTTTTATGCGTCTTTGGATTATAGTAATGTTGTTCTGGTTTTCCTACTGGGCATTTCGCAGTCAAACGAGCGGAATTGAGTTATGAGCAAGATCTTCGGTCTGGAACATAACCTGAACGTTCACTTATGTTTTCTAACAGGGTGCTTGTCCACCATAGTACTACCTTCTATTCACCTTTGGGGTCACGTTTGCCATTGAGTTATTTATAGTGCGTGCTGACATATTGTGATGAGCAAGTTAGTCATGCTAACAAGCCTTCTAACAAGTTTTCACGTCAAGTTCAACCAAATTCACCACTCATATAGAATTGCGTTCGTTACATTTGCGCATAAAACCCACCAGTATGACGGTTCGCCAGCGTCAGCGATTAGAAAGTATAGATATCGATCTAAACTCGTGTCAGAGCGTCCTCCAGCATCTTCCAGCGTACTACAACGTCCATCAATTATCTCGAGGGCTAAGAGAAAGTACAGCCTCGATTCTGCGCGTCTGATTAGCGTGCATTCAGCGTCTACAGCGTTCGGAGGGGAGAGTATGGCCGAGTATAGTGAGGGTGCATACTGCTGGTAGAGTGTGTGGTGCGATATGGAGGGCAAGCGGTCTGCCACTATCCTAACGCCATCTTCTCCGAACGCTACTGGAGATGCTTGGCCCGCGCTGGTTAGACGCTGGAGGACGGCCCGGCTAGTTTCGATCATCTATACTCTTTCCTGCTACCGCCTTACAGCTCGAGAACGCTGGTTGGGCCGCTATTGTTCGCTGTGCTGTGAACGCTTACCGCAAGTATGAACGAAGCCTTACGCGGATGGTAAGAGTAGCACTTTTAGTATCAAGCTACGTACGCTAATTGCTCATTGATCTCACTAACTGGACTGACATAATGTTGGTGAGTTCTATAAGCCATAAAACCCATACATATTTACTGGACGTTGATGGAAGATTGCAGGTGGAAGGCTTGAATGCGTGCTCCATTTGAAATGTTAAAAGTAATTTAGCGTAGGTGTGATATAATACCTCGTTTTAAGGTAGTTCAATCTCCTCAACAACATCAGCCTGTACAGTCTCCTCTTTCAACTGGACACATACATCAAAATGGTAAGTTTGAGCCAGTGTTCGGGCATGATGTCGGAACATCCTCTTGTTACCAGTTTCTCTGCATCCTTTTGGGGAAAATGATGGTAAAACTTTGGGGGTCCGATTAATTCAGTGGTGATCTTGTTCAAGGGTTTTAATATGGGATAAGAAGATCAGTTGCGCAGAGGATGTTTGACAACAGACGAAGCCAAACCACTTTGTCATGGTATATTGCTTAGTTTCTTCGCGTTCTGTATGAGAAAAGACGTGAATATTTAGGGCTAAAATCTTGTACTGTATGGCTCGATTGACGATGTAGAGGGCGAGGATTCGACGCGTGCGGGTAAATTACCGGGAGCCTGCCGGAATTGCCCACTTAATTCGGTGTCAATTCTGGGGAATAGATCGGCCGGCCTCCCGCCATCCATGTTAAGAGAAAAGAGCATCATATGCTACTGAGTCGGTGGAAGCCGGAATGCGTGGCCAATCTCGGAGCTGTGCAGTATTCCAAAGATATTTTCCTTGCGATAGTACTGGGGATCATGTTTTTATGTGAAGATGAAATTGACTGAATGAACCTCAGCAATGATTCAACGAGGCCATCTGGTTAGGTGAGAGAGCGGTAATCCAGTGCTTCGCGAAGTTGCTGACTGTTTTGAGAGAAGTTGTTATTGGGAAAGATATGATCAATCAGAGTGGTGAATCGGCACATTTGTGGCTGTTAACGAATTTTCGACCTTACCTGCTCGTGCCTCGAGATTATTCTGTGCAGCTGCCAGGAACCTCCCACCATGTCCTTTGAACCTGGTTATGGGGAGGATACAATAATGGAAGGGGGACCTGCATCAGGGTACCATAAGCCGGCTGATAATATCTTGCGGCTCCTCGTAGGCAGCGCAGCGGTACGTCGGCTCACTGTCCGCGTTCACATCTTTTAAGTGAACTGGCTCCTCCGAGGCTCTGTTTATCCAGTCATGTAGCCTGTAAATAGTCTGCTAGGGCGCGCGATATCGCAGCGGAAGCAGTGCTCCACACCCATCGCTAATTGTTGGAGCAAGATCTAGAGAAATTCTAGCCTTATTTGGTTTACTTGTCTTGTAGGTTTTCTAACAAATAAGAGCATGGCGGTGATCACACTGAATGGAATTACTGCAGCCACTGACAATTGACCTGGAATCGTGAAGAGTAATTATAGGGTATAAAGGACGTATTGTTCCGGTAAGACTAACTTCTTCGACATCATGACTCAAGTGTTTTGGCGCTTGGAATTGTTCTGTATTACAATACGAACTTAAATTTGCGCGACATTTTCAGGTTAACCAGAGAGGCGCAAATGCAGTCGACAGTGGCAAGGTAACAGGCTATCATCATCACTCGAACTTTCAGTTTTGATTCAGGTAAGTCCTCTGTTGCCAAGGTTGAATCGTTGCTAGAGACGAACCTGCTCAATTTACCTGGACTCACGCGAATTTGTATGTTGCCTCTTCCTGGTGTCTCTTCCAGTTTTTCTTCTTATTCTTAGAAATTGACGTGGCGAGGACGTTCGGTCTAAAGTAGTCCTTTTCGTGAGGAAAGTGTTCGAAGAGGTTTGTAGTGAAGGAGGATAGCCAGTTGTACAATGTCATTCTTGAGCGTTATGGAAGGGGAGGTGGGGAGGGGTGTACGGAAATGCGTTCTGGCGTGGCACGCTATTGACGATTGGGGTTCGAACAGAGGGGTAAGAGGTGAATTGAGGTTCGGTTATGCCGTCTGCTCTCTTTTATGCGTACACTGTTCGCTTAGCACTCCTTATCGCGTTGTGGTAAATAGATCATCAGCACCTCTCCCCTAGCCCTACGCCCTACTTTTCTTCTCCGGTGTTCGGTACAACATGTTTACAGCCTACCATGTCGTCCGGGCGTTTACTGGCACTAATTTTTGTCTTCGCTAGTTGAACTCAGGGCACGTCGTACGTTGGGGAATTCCCAGCGGGAGCGGAGTCGCATCTCGTCGTTTGAGGGAGGGGTTCGTATTGCGTCTGAAAAAATCTTTTGATATGGTTGAATTTTCTGTCTACGGGCGCTATGCCCCATCATTGGGAGAATAAACATTTGAGTGGCGGGGTGGGCGGTGGTATTTGCCTCAATCATCAGGGAAAAAGCGGCTGGTACGAAGCCTGGAAAAGTTGGCAAGATAGAAAGATGACAGGTAGGATGTGGAAAGGGGGGGGTCGTATTAGAGGAGGAAACTTGGGAGGGAGTCGTATTCTTCGAGAATTTCTCTCACCGGAAAAATTGGGTGATTCAGTTTTATATAATTTTTGATTTTTTTGAAGAAAATTTCAGCGTTTTCAATATTTCAGCCAGCACAGTCTTTCGTTCAACAACAGGCACAGGCAGCACAGCCACAGAACAGTTTTCGGTTTTGGAGTGCAATCCTAGCAGCAGGGCGCGGCCGATCCATCAAGCAACACAGCAACAGCAACAACAACAACGCATATTCCATCAACAGTACAACAAACAAATACGCAACAACGGGACAATGCAAATTCGCGGTGGGTGGCGGTGGGCATGTCGCGTGCCGGGTCGGTATGTTGCAGCTTCACCGGACCTCATAAGAGTAGCTTCCTTGGAAGAGGCACTACACAGCGCCTGCACAGGGACCCGGAATTCCGTCCTGAAAGTGCGCACTCATCCTACTCGTCTTAGGGACTTATCGTGTCAACTGCCTTTAAAACAACCCAATTAAGCGTTCCCCACACCCATACAATCGCACGACGAGTTTGTCGGCGTTCGAAGGAGTCCCTCAATTTGCTGGTTTCTAGCTAGCAGACTACTTCGAACCTGCAGATCCATAGTGTTTTTCGACTAAGTTTCGACGAAATCCACACAATTTGTAAATAGAAAACAACTTGCCGGAAATCCGTAGCTACTAGGATTCGGATACTGTGGACTCGACGGAATCGTAGCTGCAGGACTGCAGATCACGTTAGATTGCTGCGAGATTGGAAAGGGAACTGGGGTGGAAGCTTAAACATTGTAAAAATGGACTGTAACATTTATGGTGAAGATAGATAGAGAAAACTTACGTTTTGGTTTGGGAGGTTGAGGAGGTTGAGGAGCAGATAAGGGTTTCTGCTCAATAATCACATTTGGATTGTGGGCTACTGGCGTGGATGTGCTTTGCGACGACGATGTTGAGGAATGCGCATGTTGAGCTTGTGCCGCAAGGTTGGCTGCACGCACGGCTGCCACCTGCTCCTCCTGCTTCTTGAGTCGAATTGACTCTGCTTCCTCTTCCTCCTGAAAGGGGAGCTATTTCTTACTAATGATGGTTACCATGTGACACCGGAAGAAAACTCAGTTCGCAAGCAGCTATGCCACATAAAACAACTAAACCAAAGGGGACTTGAATGGTGGTATCTCCGATGGAAGCCGACGGATTACCAGCGGCACATAATAGTTCAGAATCACGTCGGAGTGCCATGTTTCCACACTCGGCAATTTGTCAAGAAATAAATCAAAATCAGGACCTGTCCCAATCATTTTTATCCCACATTTCTTTCACTTTCTTTTCCCTACATAACTTTCTTTACATTGCGATGGCCAACAAATCTCTCCAGCGACCACTTTCTTCACCGAAAGACCCTGACTCACCCTCACCCCTCTTACACGTCCATCGTCAAAAAAGCTGTCAATTCAGGAACACCCTTGGAACTCAGGACCTTATTCATACTGCTACCGTTCGTCATATTACTGCTTCGAAGGGTGCATACTTTTCCATCTTTTCTGGCCTGTGTGTTCCTCAATTGAAACTTCTTCCGTGTGACACTCCGGTTCGCACAGCACTTATCTGTTCCTTCCTTCAACATATTGTGACCCGAAATTCCAAAACATTTTCCAGCGGATCAGTGTTTTTTACGAGCGCAGGAGAAAGCCTGAGCAAGCATCAGCTCGTTAGGCGCAGTTCGGCGCGACGGGGGGGCGGGGGCGGCAGGAGGCATTTTGGCACTTTTGCCACTTCCCTTCCGAACGCTGTCAACCTATTAGTAGCCTCAGAGCTACACGGTTACCATGGTGGACTGACGACCTTGCTCCAGCTTCACAAGAGTTCACAGGTTTCACCAGAGTGAGACTTGTAAACCGGTACTGGGCAAGCAATGATAGTACAAAATGCCTGCCGCCCGTCCCGTGCGCCGACTGGCGTGCCACTCATCACGTGGTTCAAGTCAAAACCAAACGGAAACATGCACTCGCAAGCAAAGAGCGAGACCCATCGCGACATACTCACACTAGTGGGACAGCATCTTTCTTCGGAATAGGAAGGGGCCAGAGGAAAATTATCGCTCGTTGTAAATTCGAATACACTTTCGCAATCCGTTCCAGACTATAAAGACAAAGCTTGTACAACTCACCTTCGGGACGGTGTGTTCTCCATAGTGAGGTTAATGGCTCTGCCTCTAAAGTAGCATGCCCTTTCTTCCAGTCCAGAAGTTCGGGGAACGGGGCTGGGCCTGCGAGAGATACACCGAGTGTCGTCTCATCCCCACCGGCTGTCTCAATGCACAGCACTTGCGTCGATACCAGAACTCCGCAGCAAAACAAGCACAGCGGTCAAGAACAATTAGAAGTAAGAGAGAGCGCAGACAAATAGCGCGTTTGGCTATGGTTAGCGTGTGGCTCGCCACGCGCAGCGCGGGCCGACAATGGAGACGACACCAGTGTATCACTACCCTCCAGCCCACTTCCTCTGCACTTTTGACCGGAATGAGTGGCACGCTACTGCAGTTGCCGACTCACTCGCCTCCGATATGGCGAGAACCATCCTTGCAAGCAATGTGCAGTTTATCTCCGAGCAAAGAAACACTAAATCTTCACCTCGAGGGCCAACTTCATTTCAGTCGGAATCGGGACCTCGCTGTGTGTCACTTCATCCAGGAGAATCTCCTCTTCCAGAAGTTGTGCAGCTTTCTCCTCTTCCTAGATTACTCTCACTACAGCAATAAGACGGACATACTTGACGAAACAAATCATGCAAACAATAGGAGAATCTTGATCGCAGTGATATGATGTCAAAACGGCTACCTCTCGAAGTTGAGCTTGACGTTTCCTTTCCAACTCTTTGGCTTTCTCCTCTTCCTGCAAGCATGCAAGACACTTCACAGACATAAACACAAATGACAATACAATGTTAGACAAGACTTCGTGCTCATTTTTTTGACACAACATTCGACTGTTGTGCCTGACAAGGCCTAGCCAATCAGGTTTTTCATGAAGGCAATCATAAGCTCGCGGCAGATGAGGAAGTAAATCGAGAAACGGGCATTAAATCACTGCATTATTCACTCATGAATGGGGAACATCGTATGAGAAAAGTTCCGCTTACAGCTTTGACTCTGATCTCCTCCAGTCGTTTACGTTCTTCCTCCTCCTTTTTTAGTTTCTCAGCTGCCTAAAAAAACATTTGTGTAATTACGGTCTTACTGGAAAGTTGCAGCAGTTTTATACAGATAGAGAATGAGTCGTCACTAGAACGATGAGCGTCATCGTCCATAAATCGTCCATAATACAAGTGAGAAAGAAGTCTAGTATTTCCGGAATCGCCACTGCAGCTTGTGGCATCTGCGCAAAAATATTAAGTAGTCTAAGGATCAAAAAGCAGGGCGAAAGTAAAAAAATCCTTTGCTTCTACTGCTCCTCATCCAGAAGTAACCGGAGATGGCTTTAACTTCTTTTTTCCAGGAGGAACGAGAGAGGCGTCTCCAGGAACAAGCGGAAAAGGAGCGTCTCATGAAGGAGGAGAGGGAGAGACTTGCTAGAGAGGTTGCTTAATGATAATATTAATATTATTATTACACTTACTGACAGTGATTATTAGCATTATTGTTAATGCTAAAGCTCATTTCTTCTCATGGAGTCATTTCCTTCTATACATTATCCACTGTGCTTACTTGGGTTCTGGGTGATGTCGGAGTGACAGATTCTATTCTGGTCCTTCATCAGTTGCTCTTGTTCTCTTATTTACTGGGTTTAAGGCGCAGCCGTGTATAGTGGCACACCTTCACCGTATTTCCTGTGTGTTCTTGTTTATATGACCAATTCTGAATAATAAGTGCTTTGAAGGCGCGGTCCGCTATCAGCTAAAGAAGTTGAAATAGCAGTCGGAGGGTCTAGTGTGATCGCGAAGGATCAACCTGTTGTACCGGTTTCGCGGCAAAAAATTGTGAGGGAAGGGCGCTATAGCAATATAGGTTCAGTAATGCTCCCTTTTCTCCAGTGACTCCGCCTCCAGACTCCCCCCCCACCCCCACAACGCCCGCTTTTAAAGACACATGGTACGCTCAAACACATTGAGGGTGTATGAGACTAACAGCCCCCCAGCTGTCGATGTGTCGTGGTTTCCCCGCCTGAAACTGCACGGGGGTCCGAGTACGGGACCGTGGGAAAGGCTTATTCCTTGCTACACCGCCCAAAATGCAACTTGCGCGCGGTGAATTTTGGGCGGTGTAGCAAGGAATAAGCCTTTCCCACGGTCCCGTACTCGGACCCCCGTGCAGTTTCGGGCGGGGAAACCACGACACATCGACAGCTGGGGGGCTGTTAGTCTCATCAC